ATGTTATTCGTGAATGCGGAGATGTTGACTCGTGAGGATGGTAAGAATCAAAATATGATGATGAAATACCCAAAGCATGGAAAATTTCGTGAACGCAAGTATAAAAGAATCTTGAATCTTTTGAGTTTTCATTTTGTACTTGTTCTGGAACTGCCATTGGATTTAGGAAAACGACACCAAATATTGGTCTGTGATATGTTCTCTCTTCTGATAATCCAGCTGCTGATGCAAGTGTAGAATCATCATCATCTCTTGGTCTTGAAAGTATCGCAAGTACAATATCAACTCCAGATGCTGTTTGGGAGCCAAAATTCGTCTCGTATCCATAGTTACCATTAAATTCTTTATATCGAATATCTGAATTATAGGGAATTACGGAAAGAAGTCTCTCCAAGTATGTCTTAACGTTGTCAAGAGTTCCCTTAATAGCCGAAATCTTAGTTGAAGTTAAAATATGTCTCTGTTCACAAAAGTAAGTCTTGCCTTGGAATCGAACTTGTTGTCTAACGGTTTGGCAGGTTCGTTGATCATCTTTTGATTTATCAATGTAGTTATAATCTAATTTTATTCTGATGTTTTTCCATTCGACATTTTTAAGATTTCGAGATAATTTAGGTCCTTGAAGTGTTCTTGTTATATTGCCCATTTCAAGATCATGATTGCACTTATGTACATTAATTTGCTCAACGAGGAGTAGGGATATAATCATTTTTTCTGATTTCAATGATATAAAATTGCACAGAGTAGGGGTAATTTTAGCTAAAAGTGACACACCCGTGAAGGGTGTGATTACCGATCGGTAATTTCGACAGTTTAGAATTTAAAATTTTTTATGGAACTGTTGCGAGTTTCATAAAGAATTTAAGGAATATAAGCAAAGATTTGAATCAAAATCTTCGAACTAAGCCGCTCACTTCGCTCGCGGCTTCCGCGAATTACAGATCAGCAAAGATTTGAATCAAAATCTTCGAACTAAGCCGATAGCTTCGCTCGCGGCTTTCTTTATTATTTTAAATTTGCATATTTCCATCAAAAGTTCATAAGGTAAAAAATTTCGTTTATATTATTGCAAAATAAAATCTTCATTATCAAAATAATATTAAATGATAATATAATATAATTTATAAACAACTATTATTTAATAAAGTTTAATTGCCAAGGTTCATCTAATTTTTTGATTTTTAATGTTTTATGAATTTTATTTATCATGTATATATCTAATGAAGATTATATATGTAGAAGATAAGTACCTTAATATGTACGTAAAAATTAATGAAATTTATTTTGAATGTAGAACCGAGCAATTTTCAAATTTTGTGCTTTTTTTTTGAATTTTCTCGATACCAGATAAGTTGTGTTGGCTAAATAATATATGGATACAATGTGTCTTATAGATGAATATATGCACAAAGTTTAAGAGGCCATTTTCTTTCAGAAACCGAGATTTGTGAATTTTTTCAAATTTTGTGCTTTTTTTGATATTGAAATTTCATTTCATTTTTTTGATGCATATCGATGCACCATGCGAACTTAAAGAAAGGCTATCTTATATAGATGCTATGAAAGCTGTCATTGATAACGAATGCCATGCAGGTTGTCCATATCAATTAAAAAAAATCCAAATTTAGGGGGAACAAAATTAAACTTCAGGTGCAGATAAGATAAATGTGAAGCATGTATCTCATTTCTAAAGGATGATGAAGAATATATCCTAACAGAATATAATGGAACACATAATCACAATCAAATCAAAGATGAGACAAAGAAATACCACACATTATCACAATGCTATCGTCGGGTACTTATTAATTTTATAAAACAGGGGGTGATCCGAAAATGGCTCAAATTGAATGCGACAAAAAACTTGATCTGGATGATCCACTTAACAGGCCATCTTTTTTGAATGCATCTTCAGATCAAATGAAAACAATTCAGGAAAAAGGAAATAAAAAGATCAAAGGTATTCAAAAGTACGATGATAATCAATTCAAGTCAACTCAATTATTTAAGGGTATCAAAGAACAAGAGTCACCAAAAGATTTAATTTATTTCGATGTCGATAATTACAACAAACCAAAGAAATTAATCTTTTATTATGCTTCTTTCAAATTTCTGGACATAATCAAAATTGTGAAAGAGCATTTTATTGATGCAACCCATTCATTACTTGAATTTAAAATGTTGTTTTACATGATATCAGCCAAATTTCCAAATACACATGCATTCCCAATTTTTCAATTTGTCGTTTATCCAAACACTTCAGAAAATATTGCATTCTGTCTCAAGGCATTTTTTAACTGGGCAAAAGTAAAACCAAAATATTTTATGTCAGATTGTGCACAAGAAATCGAAAATGCGATTATCAACTCTTTTCCAGAAGTTATCCTTCATTGGTGTGCAGTTCATGTAATGAGGGCGTTCAGAAAAAATTTGAAAGATTATGCATTTGAGAGTTCAGACAAATTGATATTAGATACAAAAATGAACTATCTTGCATACGGCAGAAATGGCAAGAAAGAATGGATTGAACCAACGTTCAAAAAAATTCTGGAAATAGCCGAAAAATTCCCAGAATTTTCAAAATACATACAAAATCAATGGATATCAAACCAAGAAAGATGGACAGCCGCTGAAAGAGATGAAAATTTAGCTCTCACAAATAACATTTCAGAATCGATTAACAAAAAAATTAAATATTACTACTTTGGCGGAACAATTTTCATGAGATTTGATCGATTTGTGATGAAATTAATCGATTTTATCGTTCCTTCATTTTATTACAGAATTTCTCAAGATATAAGGCTCAGAGACAAAATTCCAAATCCGTTGCCATCTGAAAAAAAGCCAAAAAAGTCTACAATCAGACTGGATACAGAAAAATGTATAATGCTCACTGATAAAATTAAATCGTTAATAGTTAACTCATCAGCAAACTTAAATACGCTTCAATTGGGTTTAGATGACCTACTTGATAAAGTTGTCAAGGCAGCAAAGGTTCAAAAACGAATGACCCAGTATTTTCCGGAAATTAATTTGTATCCCAATGGAAATCAAGCTTAGTATTCTCACGCAAATTACAGAATTTGGATGCAATACCCCTCAATTCATTGTTGAGAATGCCAAGTCTTTTCAAGATAAAATTATTACAGATTTCCACCTTCAAATTATAAACATTATAAAAATATGAATAAAAACTTGATATAAAATAACATTTTTATTTTTACTAAGAAAAAAAGGTTTTTGATAATAAATTTATTTTATTTCGAAAAAGTAACAATAATCGTAAAAGGGTATTGATAGGCTTGCTAAAGTAACTAATTTTAGCTGTCAAATACTTTTGTATTTTGAAGTAAATTAGTATAAATTTGTTTTTACTTTTATTTCGAAAAAGTAACAATAATCGTAAAAGGGTATTGATAGGCTTGCTAAAGTAACTAATTTTAGCTGTCAAATACTTTTGTATTTTGAAGTAAATTAGTATAAATTTGTTTTTACTTTTATTTCGAAAAAGTAACAATAATCGTAAAAGGGTATTGATAGGCTTGCTAAAGTAACTAATTTTAGCTGTCAAATACTTTTGTATTTTGAAGTAAATTAGTATAAATTTGTTTTTACTTTTATTTCGAAAAAGTAACAATAATCGTAAAAGGGTATTGATAGGCTTGCTAAAGTAACTAATTTTAGCTGTCAAATACTTTTGTATTTTGAAGTAAATTAGTATAAATTTGTTTTTACTTTTATTTCGAAAAAGTAACAATAATCGTAAAAGGGTATTGATAGGCTTGCTAAAGTAGTTAGTATACATATCTTCGGTATGGTGGCACTGCGCACCATCTTACCAAAGTTATGTCAATCTGACACTTTACAAAACCACTAACGTATATTTTACATCGCATATGCAATATTTCTAATAACCTTAAACTATTTCTGCCACGTAAAGTATTTATCACATAAACCACCTCATCTCACCTCTCTGTACGTTATATATTGTGCGCAGGTCATTGCCCATGGCAACTCCCCGCGACACAATGCACGTGCATGAAAAAATAAACGACTTCACTAACGTTCTCACTAACGTTCTCACTAACGACTTCACTAACGTTCTCACTAACGTTCTCACTAACGACTTCACACGTATGAAAACATAGCGCAAAAATAAACTTAGGGTAGAAGGTTAGATCTAACCTCATTTCTACCCTCATTTCTACCCTGTTGAATTCATTGCTTTATAACTCTCTTCCTTTCTCCAACTCTTCTAGCTTCTTCCTAAGTTCAGCAATGTTGTCCTCATGAAGTTTAATCTTTCTCAAAATTCCTTCTCTATCTAATGGTTGCTTTATCTTTCTAAACTGAACTCTACCATCCTTCATAGTATGAACGTAAAAACCTTCTGGAATAGTTCCTGATTTAATGTATTCTACCAAAAACTTTTGTTTCATTGCTTCAGTGACTTTAGTAGTCATTTTAATTAAATAAAAATTTTAATATTAAATAAAAATAACGTTATTTTTTCAGTAAGGAAACGCAGGAGTTTTACGATTTATTTGAGGAGTAGGTTCTGGTTTAAATGTTGGAGTCGGTTTAGGAGTTGACTTTTGAACAGGAGTTTGTACTTCCATAGGTTCAGGAGTCATTGAAGGTTTTGCTTGTGAAGGTGTTGGTTTTGGCGAAGGTGTTGGAGTTTGTTTAACTTCAGCTACTTCAGTATTATTTACAACATTTGCTTTATTTCTTTTCAACATCATAACTGCTCCTGCTGTAGCTAGCAAACCTAGTGGGAGACCATATCTTATATAAGGACTTGACCAAATGCTATTTTTGACAGGAGCTGGTGGAACACCTAACCTTGGTGAGACTGCTCTTTGCCATTGTGCAGCTCGTAAGAAATATTCAATAAGTGCTCCATAATCGTTTGGTAAAGTTTGTTTCATAGATGGTGAAGGTTCACGAGAGCTTGATGAAGAACTCATTTATAAGCTTTAAAAATAAACGTTCATCCTTTATTCCTCACTGTCGTCCGTAGCTAAGTTATAGTCATCTAATCTTATTATGGGGATGCCATTAGCACGCACCTGAATGGCAAAGCAACAATCCCTCATAAATCCAATAAGTGGCTTTGGTACGTTTTCAGTTGCTAGTTCAATAGGTCCTTTAACAGACAATTTGTATGTTATCGGAGCAGTAGATGTTTGACCTTGCTGGAAGCAAAAGTCCACTTCTGTTGGAAAACCACATAAGAAATGTGTGTTGTCATAGCTATCCCATTTATGTTCCACACTACCATCATCCACCAATGACCTCATAACATCTTCATTAAATCCAATCATATCATTGTTTGTATTGCAAGCGTTCGCAACCATTTCATAAAATACAGGTCCATATGATTTTTCAGGTTCTGCAGGCATATTTCCATAAGCTCCCATGGAAAGCTGAAGATATTTAAACTTAGGGTTCTCAAAATTAACATAATAGTTGTCTTTCTTTCTAAATAGTGCCCAAATACTTTTAACATTAATAGGCGTATAAGCTGCTGTAAATGTTGCACTTGAACTATCTGTATTCTTTGAGAATGAACCGTCCATAGGAATCCAATCCATAACTTTAACAGGAAAACATAAAGCCTCGTTTGTATAATGTTCTACAAGTTCTGTATAAATGTTAGGGTCTAAAGAGAATGACTTTGGATGAATGAAACATTCATTAAAATCCATCTTTGTTCGAAATAGTTGCTGGGTTACAGTTGTAATAGTAACTGTTCCACTAGCTTCTACTGCCTTCTTTATCATAGTGAATGGTTCATTCCATGGAACAAATTTATTTGTCGGTGGATTTGAATCTGAAGCAAATGCAACTTTAAGAGTTGGATTGAAAGCAATGATATCATTTACAGATATAGATGTGCATTGTAATGCGTCGCTACTGAACTTTACTTTAAGCTGAATGTTTCCTGCAAAAGCTGGAATAAATCGAATAGCTTCTAATGGAAGGAATCTTCTAACAGGAATTCTTAAACGAAGCTTAAAATCAAATGATTTTCCTGCTGTAATTGGACCACTAACAATTTGTCCTGTTCTGCATGTTCCGAATGACTCCATACATCTTCATGTCGAGTCTTTGAGAAAACATCTACTTTCTTTATTTGTTCGGTAGTTTGTGAGTTTGAAGTTATATATGCTTCTTCTCTTGCGTTGTCTTGAGAATATACGATACGACCATTTGCAAGGATTTGATATCCAGCAACTGCAGTTAGTATACATAAGTCGTGTATGGTGGCACTGCGTTCCACCTTACCCAATACTTGTGAATTTGACACTTTACAAAACCGTTAACGTATATTTTACAACACAAACACAAACACCAACTTAACCTTAAATATTTATAAAGCCGCCAACCACTTCACCTCACTAACGACTTCACTAACGAATTCACTAATGTTTTCACTAACGAACTCACTACTGTAAAAAATAAACGTTCTCACTTACAAAAGTATTGCAACTCTTCCCATTGCTTTGCTTCACACAACAGTTCATATTCTTCACTATTGCTGCTGTCACTCCAATCGTCAGAGTCAAAGTCACTGTCAAAATAAATGTTAGTAAGTTTTGACAAAGCTAATGAAACACGTTTACCGTTTGTATCGTATGCTTGTATAAACTTTCCATTCTTCATTCCTTCATAAACGCTCAAACTAACTTTACCCTTTCTCCCTCGTATCTGATAGAATGTATTTTCACGAGGAACGAAGAACAAATTCTTGAACTCATGACCGTTGTAGTTTGTTATCTCAATAGTTTTCGTCATTTATATAAAAATAAAATAAAAAAATTAATGATATCACCACCCTCACACGTATGAAAACATAGCCAAAAATAAATTTAGGTGAAGTGGTGAGATCTCACCTCTTTTTTCACCTGTTTTTTCACCCACTTGAATTCATTACTTTATAACTCTCTTCCTTTCTCCAACTCTTCTAACTTCTTCTTAAGTTCAGCAATGTTGTCCTCATGAAGTTTAATCTTTCTCAAAATTCCTTCTTTATCTAATGGTTGCTTTATCTTTCTAAACTGAACTCTACCATCCTTCATAGTATGAATGTAAAAACCTTCTGGAATAGTTCCTGATTTAATGTATTCTACCAAAAACTTTTGTTTCATTGCTTCAGTGACTTTATTTGTCATTTCAATCAAATAAAAATTTTAATATTAAATAAAAATAACGTTATTTTTTCAGTAAGGAAACGCAGGAGTTTTACGATTTATTTGAGGAGTAGGTTCTGGTTTAAATGTTGGAGTCGGTTTAGGAGTTGACTTTTGAACAGGAGTTTGTACTTCCATAGGTTCAGGAGTCATTGAAGGTTTTGCTTGTGAAGGCGTTGGTTTTGGCGAAGGTGTGGAGTTTGTTTAACTTCAGCTACTTCAGTATTATTTACAACATTTGCTTTATTTCTTTTCAACATCATAACTGCTCCTGCTGTAGCTAGCAAACCTAGTGGGAGACCATATTTTATATAAGGACTTGACCAAATGCTATTTTTGACAGGAGCTGGTGGAACACCTAACCTTGGTGAGACTGCTCTTTGCCATTGTGCAGCTCGTAAGAAATATTCAATAGGTGCTCCATAATCGTTTGGTAAAGTTTGTTTCATAGATGGTGAAGGTTCACGAGAGCTTGATGAAGAACTCATTTATAAGCTTTAAAAATAAACGTTCATCCTTTATTCCTCACTGTCGTCCGTAGCTAAGTTATAGTCGTCAAGTCTTATTATTGGTATGCCTGACTGTCTTACTTGTATTGCAAAGCAACAATCCCTCATAAATCCAATAAGTGGCTTTGGTACGTTTTCAGTTGCTAGTTCAATAGGTCCTTTAACAGACAATTTGTATGTTATTGGAGCAGTAGATGTTTGACCTTGCTGGAAGCAAAAGTCCACTTCTGTTGGAAAACCACATAAGAAATGTGTGTTGTCATAGCTATCCCATTTATGTTCCACACTACCATCATCCACCAATGACCTCATAACATCTTCATTAAATCCTATCATATCATTGTTTGTATTGCAAGCGTTCGCAACCATTTCATAAAATACAGGTCCATATGATTTTTCAGGTTCTGCAGGCATATTTCCATAAGCTCCCATGGAAAGCTGAAGATATTTAAACTTAGGGTTCTCAAAATTAACATAATAGTTGTCTTTCTTTCTAAATAGTGCCCAAATACTTTTAACATTAATAGGCGTATAAGCTGCTGTAAATGTTGCACTTGAACTATCTGTATTCTTTGAGAATGAACCGTCCATAGGAATCCAATCCATAACTTTAACAGGAAAACATAAAGCCTCGTTTGTATAATGTTCTACAAGTTCTGTATAAATGTTAGGGTCTAAAGAGAATGACTTTGGATGAATGAAACATTCATTAAAATCCATCTTTGTTCGAAATAGTTGCTGGGTTACAGTTGTAATAGTAACTGTTCCACTAGCTTCTACTGCCTTCGTTATCATAGTGAATGGTTCATTCCATGGAACAAATTTATTTGTCGGTGGATTTGAATCTGAAGCAAAATGCAACTTTAAGAGTTGGATTGAAAGCAATGATATCATTTACAGATATAGATGTGCATTGTAATGCGTCGCTACTGAACTTTACTTTAAGCTGAATGTTTCCTGCAAAAGCTGGAATAAATCGAATAGCTTCTAATGGAAGGAATCTTCTAACAGGAATTCTTAAACGAAGCTTAAAATCAAATGATTTTCCTGCTGTAATTGGACCACTAACAATTTGTCCTGTTCTGCATGTTCCCGAATGACTCCATACATCTTCATGTCGAGTCTTTGAGAAAACATCTACTTTCTTTATTTGTTCGGTAGTTTGTGAGTTTGAAGTTATATATGCTTCTTCTCTTGCGTTGTCTTGAGAATATACGATACGACCATTTGCAAGGATTTGATATCCAGCAACTGCATAGAAAGCGTCATCGAAACCAATCCAAAATCCTGGTGGGTTTGTTTTATTGGAACCTGAACCAATTTCTTTATCTACAATAAATTGACCTTCCATTTTATACGTAATGAATGTATTGTAAAGGTCCAACATATTTTCACCAGGAGGTGAGAGATTGAATGTTACCCATGTGTTATCTTTAGCAGTTCCAGGTTGTGATGGAATCTTTGCGTCAGAATATTTTCTATTAGTGTCACCAATTTGAACTGCATTGTCTATGATATCGAAATATGAGCGAATCTGATGAATATGCTCTGCTGGAGTAAATTCGTTTAGCTGTTCGTTCTGCATGTATTTACTTCAGATAAAAATATCTATTTACTTCATTATTCTCACTCTTCTTCTTGGCATTCGTGTGGAAGTTGTTTCTTGACATTTTCAATGAACTGTACATTCTCTTTTGTCTCAACTTCTTTCACCGGTGGGTCAGGGTTCTTTGACTCGGTTTGCTTTTCAATGAAATTCACGAACTTTGCAATAAGCTCTTGGTTCGTTATTGAAAGTACATCTGGCTTCTTTTCTTCTTGTTCTTTTGGTGGCTCAGTTTGAACAGAAGGTTTTATATGGGCTTCGCCTCGGTGCCATGCACCTTAATGTTGTCGCTCTCTGCATTCGCTAATGGTACCTTTCTTTTTCTTACGTATATTTTACCATCTTTACTCTGACTTACGTAATAGAAAGGATGTTGTATTCCTCTTGCGTCATTTAATATAATAGACTCTCGCTCTGATTTTGACAAGCTCATTTTACATCGGTTAAAGTTTTAATTTTGTTTTTTATCTGCAATCAAATGACTCAGACAAGCCCTACGGACAAGACCCAAGGTGTCATAGATGTTGAAGCATTGAAGAAAGAAATTCGTGAGCAAATTTTATCCGAACTGAAGGAACAAAAACAAGAACAAAAGCCAGAGAGACCAAAGAGAAAACTTAGTGAAAAACAACTTGCTGCATTAGCTGCTGGAAGACAAAAGAACCCACGTTTGCTGGCAAAGAAAGCTAGAGAAGAAGCTGAAGCAAAGAAAGAGTAAATGGTTTATTTTTATCCGAATTAAATGTATAGACAAATACCTTTATCTGTTGCGTTCAGTAGTGAAAACCCTGACGTCAAAATAAAGGGGAATAGAGTAACGTTTAAGTTTCCAACAGACTGGATTGTGAACATAAATGAAGAGAAGTACATTGGCATAACATCTATGTATATAACACGTGCTTTCAGAAAGGTTGACTTTATACTTCAAGTCGAGATAGAAAATGACGAACAGTCTTTAAGCGCCCAAAACATTCACATATACAAATACTTTAAAGACGATACAACATTGTTGCAATGTATGATTTCATTTAATGAGATGTTCGAGAAAAAGTTCAACATTGAAGTACAAACTTTACAGCCTTTACGTGAGTTTCTTGCACAACTGAAAGAAGAAGGTAGTCAGCCACAACTTATAGACTTTCATTATGAATTTAATGAAAATGAAGATGGAACACATGACTGTCAGTTTGTTGTATTCTCACCATTCAATGAAGTCGCTAAAAAGAAAGAAAATCCATTACGTATAAGATTTCAAATCTCTGAACCAAGTGATGATTTCAAGAATGTTTTCAATTATGATGCAATGCTTCCGAGGAAAAATGAATTTTCAAAGATTGTAACACCTGGCATTTGGGATAGAAAGCAAGCTATTCTTTTCTCTAATATAGCCAAAGGCGTTGAAAATGAGTTCATTGGTCATACAAGAACTTCACCACTTCCTAACCCTAAATACTATAAATTAACTGGCTTCAATCGTGAGTTTTGGATAGACATGTTCTCCACTCATGACCATAACTGCCCAGTGTTCTTACCTTCAGATGGGAAAGATTGTCTCTACATTGAAGCACAACTCTTAAACTCTACCATCGCAGTATTGTAAAATCTACGCTAGCTTTATTTTTATCACGAATGACCTCATTGCTGACCTCATTCATGACCTCATTGCTGACAAAAATAAATGACCTCATTCATGACCTCATTCATGACCTCATTCATGACCTCATTCATGACCTCATTGCTGACAAAAATAAATGACCTCAGAACTTCAACTTACGAATAAAGCTTGTTTTAGTCGTTATTGAGAAGTTAAACTTCTCTTCAAAGCAAGGTTGACATGACTTACATAAGTCAAATCCAATCTCTTGACCGTCATAAAGTGCTTTATAAAGTTTCATGACACTGAACTCAGAGTCTTTGTCAAATTTTCCTTGCAGAACCATTAAACCTTTATCTTCATCATAGAAACACTGAACAGAGTCAGGAAACATTTCATTAGCGGTTAAAGCAATAACATCTTGCTTCACGCCTTTCATTCTGCAGTGAAATGCAACTTCATTTAAATCGTTAGTGAGTAAGTCTATGTAAGTCTTCTTTCCACAAAATATTGACTTGTATGCTAAACTTTGTTTTCCAGGTGTTATTTCTGCGAAGTCAGAATGAAATTGACCTAATGTTTTACCAATAAGTTCTCTACCGTATCTCTTCTTAAATTCATGAGCTAAACGTGGTATGTCTTCATTGTAAATGTGCATCGAATCTGTATCCTGATAAAATGCTTTTAATCCTAAGTCTTCAATCGTGCAAAACACTTCATTCATTATTCTCTTCGACATTGATAGAATATTAACACCAAGTGGACAGAAGTTAAAGTGTCTGCAAATGCTTTTCGTTAGCTTGAAAATAGTTTTATCTGAACCATCCAAACCTTCGAACTTCACTATATGGTTGTAGTTTCTGATGGCATATCTTATAGCATCTTTGTCATCTACTATGGTTATTTTTGACTCAATAGGAGATAGAATAGTTTTGCCATAAATACTGTTCAGAATGAGCTTTATATTTTCTTGCAAAGGATTTCCTTCTTTCTTATACTTTAACCTTAACTCAAACAACTTCTTTACTTCATCTCTTATTCTAATATCTCTGTTTCCATCGTAATAGTATCCTTGCAACACTTCACATTTGACACCTTGATATTTTATGAGGTCTTGTAATGTTATATGGTCAACATACATTAAACAGCAAGTGTTTGAACTTCTGGGAACGTTAAGTTCTGGATTTAGTTCAGGGTCACAAACTATTAAAGGAAAGTGTCTGGGTATTCCAATCTCTGTTATCTTAATGAGAACAAAGAAGCCAGACATAAACTTTTCACCAATGGGTTCCTTTTGGTCGTCATCGAATAAATGTCTCATGAGATACTCTGTGCTTAGCATCTCATCCTTCATAACCTTTGGAATACCTTCTAAAGTATAAAGTCTTGCTATAGCGGATGGATATAATGAAACAGCGTCGAAGTCAGCAATGAGTTTCTTTTCGCTCTTTTGTTTCATGTTATCTGACAACATACATCTTCCACCTTGAATGCATCTCGAAATAAATTCTCTTGGTTTATTTGAGAGGTCATAAAGATTTCCATTCGGGAAGTATACTCTGTTCTCAAATAATTTGTTAGCAATTGAACAAATACTAACGTAGTCATAAACGTTTAAATCAAATTCTTTCAATATGTCATTGCGGAACTTAACAAAACCTTCTCTTAAAATTCTTACATCTTGTTTACAATAAAATGAGCTATATTTTTCTAAGTCGAAATGGTTTTCATCTATTCTGCAACCTTTGATGGAATCTATGTTTTTCATGAACGTTTCAATATCTTTTACAAACTTACATGCTTCAGAAATGACACCAGTTCTGTTGTCATTTGCTAACAAAGTACTGCTGTAGTAGTTATATGGAAATACTTCTTTCGGTCCTGTTTGTAAGTTAAACATAGCAGGAAATAGTTTAAGCTTCTTATTTATAACACTGTAAGAGTCTTTTATAATAATTGCCCGTCCTTTATATAAGCCAGTTATTTGCATTGTTCGTGAACCTTTAATGATGGGAGTTCCTTTCACTTCTGTCATATGTCTTAAGATGAAGTTTATATCATAACTGAGGTTATGGAAATATATTAAACTCTTGTCAGGAAGTCGTTCCAAAAATTCTGTTGCACAGTTCTGACCCCATATGCTTTCACTCACTGAACCATCTTCACTGTCATAACAGATGTTAAAAGCTTTATGAAAGCCATCCGTACTGCACTCAAAGTCAGCAAAGAAAACGTGCTCAGGAATGAACTTACATTTAGCTTTATTTACTTCTTTTGACTCGGCTTTCTTCTTCAGTTGTACACAATACTTTGGAGCATATGTCAAATCTTTAAATGGTGCAAGGTTCTGTTTATATAAGTCAGTCGTATATGTGAAAAGTTCTCCATAAGAAATAGGTTCGAAATATTTGCACTCCCACAATGTTTTCATAACATCCCATAACGGTGTTGTTCTATCCATGCGAACAATATATTTACCATCTCTCATTGTATATATTTTCATCTGTTTTTCAATGTTCATTCCACCACACTCCTTCAAGATTTCTATATAGTTGCGAATGAAATATGTTGTCATTGGTAATCTTTCGTTTAGCATGTAGTGGTCTTCAACAAGAAGTAAGTCAATAGTTCGAACAGTTTCACATTCTTTTGGTATATATCTCTTTATTTCATTATGTCTTGAGTCATTGAAATAACCAATGGTAACATTAAATGCTATACTTGTTGCGTCAGAAATTTCTTGTACTTTACTTTGAGGAAAGTCTCTAACACGAATGACTTCTCTCATGTGGTCAATAGTTTCTTCATTTACTCCAGCCTGAATGCAAGCATAAACGAAGCAGTTATCTTCTGTCATAAGTGTTGCAGTTCTTTTGTTCAGTTCATTGAAGATTTGGTAGCGTTCAAGATTTATAGGTAATGTGCAAAGATACTTCCAGAACTGACCGCTTCTCTTCTTATAAAACTTCTTTTCATCAAGGATTTCATTCCAGAAGTCATCTATATCTTGTTTATCTCCTGTTTGTTTAAGTCTGTTCAATAATCTTTTCTGTCTTTCTGTCAGTGTGCTTTCATCTCTATATGGTCTCTTTTTTGGTTTGCCTTTCTTTACATCTGACATCGTTAAGCCTTCATATTCTGTTAAATCATACATCTTTATTTCAGTAAGATTCTTTATGTTTGTTAAGAAGAAGTCATAGTGCATTTCAACAATACCTGCAGCATTTGCTTCTATCTCTGATATAAAGTTCTCCTTCAAGAGCTGATGTAGTAATGTTCCAATATTATTGAGGTTTAACGTAGAACATTCATACTTTCCACCAAGTTTATAACATACCATCCATCTTTGTTGGGAGTTTATTTTAATCTTCTCTAAGAGTCTCATGAAAACCTTACCGAAATGTTTGTGTAAATAGTCTCTGTTTGGTTCATCTAAAGCTTCGATGTTAAAGTCAATGAGTCTATTGCCTGACTTCACATTTCTCTTCCTATTCTCTTCATCTTTCTTTAACCATCTCTCACCTTCTTTTGGTTTGTCGTCAATGGAACGAATGACATCGTTAGCTTTGCGAACTTGTTCTATAGCACTTTTAAACATCTCTCTTCTCTGTTGTTTCAGTGTGTCGTCTCTTCTTCTTGTTTCACCAACGTTTGCATTTGTTATGTCAAACATCTCTTGACGAACGTCATGCGAAAGAGCTTTACGAGTATGACCAACGTTTGCATTTGTTATGTCAAACATTTCTCTTCTTACTTCATGAGGTATTGAACGTCTATGATATAAGTCAATAGCAACGTCATTTAAAGGAAATGCTCTTGCATGGACTTCGTCCTCGCCGCGTTGCGGCTTTATGAACTCATGAATTCTATCATAAGTTATTTCACCATTGTAGTCATTGAGGATGTCAGCGAGTGCTTTTTTGTTTGTCGCGTAATGTTTTGCAACATCTATGTTAGCTTCTGTAAGAAGTTGTTTTATTTCCGAGTGTTCTAACTTAGACAACTTCCGATACATCTTTAGTAGGAAATAAAAAAATTTCTTAGAAAAAATTAGATTAGATTTTTTTTTAAGTTATTTTTCAAAATAATTTAATATTTTTATTTTAATGAAACACATGCAAGATTGCAAGTTCTTTTCATACAATGCTCTCGCTACTGCCATCAAGAATGAGTTCAATAATGCTTCAAATGTTAATGTTATCTTTAACAAGAAGTTTGTGAAAGAATCTAAGTTTGGTCAGTATGTCAGACCATTAGCTATCGTCATTGACCGCAAACGTTATACTTCACAAGAGTTAGCAGTAGTTTTGAAACAAAAGAGTTTCTTCGTGAATGTCAAAGATACTCATTATACTATTATAAAGAACTCCAACATTGACTTCTTCAGTATTACTATGAATCTTTCCGAACAGAAAGAATATAAGAAGGGTGAAACAAATGTGAAATATTATCCTTCATCTCTGAAGACAATAACGAACAAAGATGTTATACAGAAATTCTTACCAAAGGTTGAAGAAGCTTCAATTGACATTGACGAAGGAAGTGAAATGGTTGAAGAAATTGACCCTGAAGCTATTTAAGCAAAAATATATTTTTGGTTAGTCTTCATATCGATATTTTACAACAATTCCCCAATGTATAAACTTTTCATACGCTTTTTCATAAGCTTTATATACCTTCAGAAATTTTGCATAATCTTTAGAAGCATTTAGATATTGTTTAAATGCTTTGTATGTCTTCAAAAATTTTGCATAATCTTTTACATGTTGTTCGTTCTCTTCTTCTGTCATGAGTTCCGAATATTCTAAATTCATGTTCTTTCATATGAGATAAAATTTTATAAAAAAAAATAAAATTAGCTTAGATTTTTTTATTCTTCCTCTTTGAAGTTATCGAAATATTCTGTTATTTTTTCCTTCAGTAATGGTAAGTCTTCTTTGAATGTAAGTATTGTGCAACCTTTGATGTCATAGTGTGTTTGAGGTAACGTATCTTGAACTATCTGTTTAACATCTTCATTTGGTGTCATTGAAATCGGTAAGTTTTCGCGATAGAACCAATTTCTGTCAGATTTGTAAATCTTAGCAAGGTCGTAAAAGCTTTTGTTGTTTCTTCTGACTAAATGCAACATAACCATATCTCTGTCTTCTTCATTTTCCATCTCTTCAGTGTAAATCATATACTTATAGTTCTTTTCCTTTCCTTTTGGTACCGAACGTGGTATTCTTTTCTGTATGTTTTTGTCTTTTGCTTCAATGACTTCATCTTTTGCTTGAAGTTTCTTTTCCATCTCTTCACGTTCTTGTCTATGAATTTCGTCAAGAAGTCTGTAAATATACCAAGCATAACGAGGCGAAGCCCACATTGCAACAGCATTTACAAGAAGTCTATGTACATACCAACCTCTCAAACCAGGAGCCAAATTTTTACGATTTTCATGTGTTTTATGCAAGACCGAGAATTCTCGGTCTAGAGAAATTTCACTCAAAAGTTCTTGTGTGCTTTGGTTTTTGAACCAGTCGTCTGCGTGTTTAGTATCTGGAGCAAAACATGCTGTCAAAATACTTTGCATTTGGTACATGTCATCTTTGACCGAACGAATGAGACGTAACTGTTTGTTAAACTGAACCCACTCGTATTCTTCACTTATGGCTTCATGAACGATAGCAGTTGTTGTGTTCTCTGTTGTTGACATTACTGTCTTTATATTCCGGATAAAAAAATAAATAAAAATAAAACTAACTTTATTTTTTCTGAGATAAACACTATTTCTTCACAACATTAAATTTTATCCTGTATGAAATGACTTTAAAAAGATTATTGACTGACTTCGAATACTATCTCATTGACGCACTGACAGACCCTCAAAACTGTGTTGAAAGTTCTTTAAGCTTTAAGATTGAAGGTACGACGCATTTTGTCTTCACTTACGTATTGAAAGAATATGACCGTTATCATAACGAAGTGAATCAAACACTAATAAAATTTGTAGATAAAAAATTGGTTAACAATGAATATTTTAAACGTGAAGACCCAAACACTGCTGGAGATGATGAAGAATACAGACAAGTTATTGAAAAAAATAACGCAAGATTAGATGCAATAGAAAAGAAGTTTAATGAATGTCTTACAAACACGTATGAATATCTTATGCGGTGGGAAGCTAGATGGAAATAAATTTACGTCAAATATGCAATTTATAAAATCTTATGTCGACAGGCTACGTAGCACAGTGGTCTAAGGTGGTGTTATGGAGGGGTCAGGGTCTGTGGTTCGAACCGCGACAGCGCCGTATTTTCTCATTTTCTCATTTTCTTTGTTTGTCTTGTTTGTCGTGAATAAAAAATGTCATAAAAGTGCTCTATCTTCCACGGGAATAAATAAAAAATTTACTTTATTTCTTCTTTATTTCTTCTTTATTTCTTTGTTCCCGTGGAAGAAGGGTTTTGCTGTTTTTTCTCAGCCGAAATCAATGATTTTTTCATTTTTGGAATCCTTAGCGAATGAGGAATCTTTTCTCTCGTGGAAGCTTTGACCAAAAATAAAATTGAGGTGAAGAGGTGAGATTTCACCTGTTTTTTCACCTCTTTTTTCACCCTCATGACTTTGTCATAACTTCTTCGTAAATGCTTTGTCAAGATTTCATCGTAAATGCTTTGTCAAGATTTCTTCGTAAATGCTTTGTCAAGATTTCTTCGTAAATGCTTTGTCATAACTTCTTCGTAAATGAGTGTAAATGACCAAAAATATAATTGAGGTGAAGAGGTGAGATCTCACCTCTTTTTTCACCTGTTTTTTCACCTCTTTTTTCACAGGCGTTTTACATGAATTGTACGATGTATATTTGAAATCCTAAACAATTTCGTAGCTTCTATTTCTTCGCTGAGGATATCAAAAGTTTTAACAATGCCGAAAGTCTCTTTATATTTCTTCTTGACGTCAGACAGAAGGAAATCTTCTGCTGTTGGATAGTTTTTGTTCAGAAATGTCAACATATCCATTTTATCTTCTGCTGGCTTTTCTGCTTCTTTCTTTAAGTCTGCATAGTCGTTTCGCATTCTTTCTATCTCTTTGACTGAATAGTTATATTTCCTAATTGCTGCTTTACATTTTGAACATTGCGGATTCATTTTTGCGTTATACATTGAAATAAAACCAGCTAGAACAACTAAGGCGTCAATGGTTTTCTTTAACTCAAAAGCTGCTGGTTTTATCTGTTCGTTCCATACCTTACCTCTTCTATCTTTATCTCTTATCTGCCATACACATTCAGCAACTAATGAAACAAAGTTGTCGTATGTCTTAAACTCCACCGATTTATATATGTCAGAAATATTTTTATAAACCATGTCGCAATCTTTGTCCATAACTTTATGGTTGCAATGATATCCTAGAAACTCATAGTTAACCTTACGTATGAACTTCTTTATTTCTACTGAATCAGTTGGTTTCACTTCTATTTCGTCGAATTCAGGAATAGTTAGTTTTTGCTGTTGGATTTCAGGCAATTTGGGTAAATGGTCAATAATGTCCTGCATTTCATAAAGATACTGTTCATTTGTTTCATCTTTCGCACTACAGTCTAAATTACTTGTTAAAAGTTCTTGCTTTATTCTTTGTATTTCTGTTTCGAAAGTAAATGAAGAAGGAATGAAGCTTTTCATCTCTACTAACATTGACGTAGGATTCATGACTAACGAGTTTGGTGCTGTTGTTGTTTGAATTGTTGTTGTGCCGATTGTTGAAATCATATCTTTTATACAAAATAAAAAAATAAATAAAAATAAAACTAACTTTATTTTTTCTGTCTTAAGGAAATTCATGAAAATTCACGGGGGTGAAAAAACAGGTGAAAAAACGGGTGAGATCTCACCCCTTCACCTAAACATTATTTTTGGTGTAAATTTATGAAAACATTAATGATATCATGATTGTTCTCATTCATGTCTGATTTACATCTAATGAAAAAGTTTAGATGAATTTTCTTATTCTTTCTGGCATATTTTTGTCTTTCCAATACTCCCGCTCTAATGGTCCCAGATGTGTTGGCTTCGACTCTCTCAAGTTCTTAGATGGTATAACATCTTCAACGCCTCCTTCATATCTTACTTTATAAGTGTCATCGTTTGTGTTGTAGCCAAGTATTTCAATAACCACTCCTCGCTTTGCTTCGTCAATGGTTTCAGCAAGTTTGCCATTACTACTTTCAACTAATTTATGACGAGGGTAAAATGCTATGGAGTCGTCAGCAGCTTTTATAAGATATCCATTACCTTGCGTAGAGTCTACTATATAATAATTTCGACTTAACCTTAAACGTTTCTTTGTCAACGGTTTGTCGTCAAGAACTACACGAACTTTTGTACCAGGAATGAGTGTAAATTGTGTTGAATTTCTGATATTTTGTGTTTGACTTAGTTTCTTTTGTATATACTTTTCTTCTTGTTGTTGTGTCATTGAATTTGGTGTATGTCCTGTTGTAGAATGTGTTTACTTCGAGAAAATGTTTCATTGTTTCTTCGGTAAAGTCTCGCTCTTGATTTAAATCTCTGAGAGTCCTTATGAAGCGGTTTATGATGCCGAGTATGTTATGGTTATGGTCTTCAGTAGTGTAGTGAGTTATGTTATGCTTAATGAGAAAATCTGTGATTTCATTGCTGAGGTATGCACTGTCTTGGTCTGATGTTAAAGTACTTGGGCTATGTTCTGCTACAAACTTTTGTAAAACTCTTAACACTTCACGAGTTCCTTTATTCCTCATTGGATATGCATATGCTTTACGAGTGTTAACATTTATGAAGATGAGGAATGGTTTATGGCCACATTTTCTGCTTTGAATGAGAGTGTCAAATTGGTATGCGTCAGGAGTGTTGGAGTAAATTGGTAAAAAGTAGTCGTAAGGATTTATTTTTGTTTGATGTACAACATTTTTGTCAAAGAACCTTTTCACTTCAGCTCTGTTAGTAAATCCCGAACTCTTTGCAGCTTCATTGAATTTCTTAAAAGACCTCCATG